ACCTGGTCACCTTCTTTCTTTTGCTATAATCAGCTTGGCTTAGAATAAGGGGCTGTCGATAGGGCTGCGCTCTTCTCGTGTACCCTCCCTGGGACCAAGAGCTCCTGGAGGCATGATGGTTCTGTGCAGAGAGGCTTTGCTTGCAGGCCTGAGCCTGCTGCCAGGATCCCAGAGGCCAGCACTACTACAGCCTAGCACGTGTGCTAGCATTGTATTAAAGCCCCTCTGGTATCGGTTTACAGCAGAGCAGAGCAAAAAAACCTCCACTGGCCATGCACAACCCCAGCAGCCTTGCTGTGGTACGGCACCAAAACCTGCAGCGTTGTAGTGTCTTGTGCACAAGGTGTCAGGGTGATGTCGGTGCTCAGCTGAGGTAGTTGCCTTGAGTTGGGAGGCGGTCACAGGTGCCTCAGAGCTGCAAGCTGCATCCTGTTCTTGCTCTAGCAGGAGATTCCTGCTAAAAGGGGGCTCAGGGCCTCTTCCAGCAGGCTGAACACTCAGAGTTTCTCAGGGAAAGGCTCCTCCTTCACCCAAGGGCAGCTACATCCACAGCTCCATCCTGAGGAGGAGCCTGCACTAATAAACTGGGAGTGGTGGGACAGACTCTAAAGCCCTCAACTGCTTCACCTTCATACAGTCCGATGGAGGAGTTTTAGGTGAGACATGGCCAGCCCTGACTGCCCCAGAGAGGAGTGCAGCATTCGTGAAGATTGCCTCTTAAGATGGCAGCCCAGGGAGACCAACACAAGATTAAGTTTCAGACTGGGGAAATACCACATTTTAGATCAGCCCCCAAAAAAATACATTCTCCTTTCTATTCTGATGCTTGAGGGCTCCTGCTTGTCTGCCCACGCTGGTTCCTGCAGGACCAAAGGGCTGATTCTGGCCACTTCCAAAAACTTTCTCCGAGTGCAGCAGCAAGATACTTGAACGCGGTGCTTGCAGTGCTAACAAGAAGGGATGAGCGCACTTCATGTCTGTATACAGGAGCTGTCTTTTTTCTTGTGGAGTGATTGAGATAAATTAGTTGAAATAAAGGGGAAGCAGGTCACAGGCTCTGTGTTTCACATTTATTTAGTGTTGCTAACTATAACTACTTGGTTAACGTAAACAAAGTCAGAACAGGAACAACTATGCTAAGAAAGAGAACTGGTTTCCTATCAGAGACTGGTCTGATGCAGAGCAGGAAATGGCTTTCCAGTGGCTACATCGTGTTCAGAGCAGGGCAAGGGCTTTCCTTGGCATAAGGGGAAACAGATTTTACAGTCCACAGTTAAATGCCATTTTCCTTTAACATATATTTATTTTTCCCTGACTAGAAAAAAAAATGGTTAGCAAGGAGTTCCTCTTAAAGACAGGCCTTCCCTCTGGCAGTAAATGTACACAGGAGAGGTGCTGCAAATATAGCCGTAGTGAGTAGCAGGGTGGTGACATGGCCCCTGCTAAAGGCAGTGCTGTGCCTGCCCCGAGGACGTGCACACCTGCCAGCTCTGAACATCTGAGCGAGAGCAAAGGGTCAAACCAGTCTTCTGCCCACCCCGGGCAGCAAGAGGATGAGCCCCACCTTCTCTCCCCCCAGTTACTTGATTCCAGATCCAGCTTAGCCATGCACCAGGGAGAGACGAGGACTGGCCCACAGTGACCCGAGAGCACACCATCAGGGGTTGTCATTCATTCCTGCCTTCTGTGCAGTAGGCAAGAATGAAGGTCAACACAACACACACACACACAACAGCGAACAGGCAGCTAAAGGTATCAACACTCCTGTATTAAAGTGCAATTCAAAAAGTTACAAACATTCATAGTTGATTTTTTTTTTTTTTTTAAATACAGAGTTATTAGAAGATCTCTAACTCAGACTTAAAAGGTGTTTATAGATAAGGAAATTTACTTCCCCCCATGCAGGGCTGCTTTAGGAATTCACACTTGCAAGTCAGGCAAGCCCAGCTTACAAAGGAGAGCCCTGGCACACAGGAAAGTAAGAGGGAAAACACTCCTTCCCCTTCACTGTGAAGGTAGGAAGGCTGTAGAAAGAAGTACAATCACCCTTTATGTAAAAGATCACGAGGGTCTCCACCAGACTAGAAAGGCTCTCCTTCAGAGCAGGTTAAATGGCACTATGTCCTAAGGAAGCAGGAAAGGTTGTGGCCGAGCGGCCAGCCTGCAGGAGAGCCGAGCGTTAGCAACACCCACCACCAGGCAGTGGCTCCCAGCTGAGAGCGAGCACTGCACCCCCAAGCAACCCAACCCGGTATTACAGCGCCTGCCCTCCCAAGCTGCTCAGGTGTGGGATACTCGCAAGCCGGCTGGAGCAGCCCAAGGAAGAGCTGGAGGCCGGTTCTCCCCTGTGGAGCTAACACGCCGCACAAGTTTGCTCAGCAGAGGGAGCCAGGGCTGCGGGACCTGTCTCCTGACAATGCTAGCGCCAGGTCATCCTCCTAACGTAACATATTTTGCTCCAAGGCAAGCAGCCTCCTGTGCAGCACTTGACTCTGTTAGGCTTGAAGAACGGCTGCTTGACACAGGATCATTGCACAGATATGAGTCCTGCTTCTAGGAGAAGGAAAGGAAAACTGATTTGCACGCCTGCCTGTATCAGCTCACTGCCCTGCAGCCACCTTTGTTTGCTTTTCTATGTCATGTCTACAAAGGCAGGCTGACTGGGGCCATCCCCTTCCCTCCTGCACAGCCAAATGCTTCAATGTCTCTTATGATGCACTTCCCAAGTTCATCACACCATGGCTGTTAGTCCAGGCCGTGAAACACACACACTTCCAGCACGACAGAGGATTTCCAGAGTCCCATTCTCAGGCTGAGCTGTGCCAGAATTTAAGGAAATTTAACACCTTCCTGGGGCACCCAAGGGTCTGTGCAAGGAACCTCATGGCTCTCTATACCTTTCCCCTTGGATGGTGCTTCAGAAGAAGTCAAATGTTTGGCATTCCAAGTAGTTTTACTCCAAGATCCCAAACCCTTCATATCTTAGTCCTAGATTAGTGATGTGGTCTACTGGTGGTTTAAGAAGTCCATCTCTCTCCTCAAGCCAATGGCAGAGCAAAAGGTTAGTGCTTCGACCCCAAGAGATAAAGCAAATAAGCAGGAAAGTGCTGCTGTTCCGCCTTCTATTGCCACTGACTTAATGTTTCAGAAGGGCAGGTGCTCAGCTGCCCAGCACTACATACATTGTATATATACAAAGAGACCTAGAGATATGCTAACCCGAGGGGTAGTAACAGCCAAGTTGTCTTCAGGGAGAGACAGTGTGGGAGGCTGGTTGCAATTTCCTTCTGTTAGTTGTTCTTCTTATCCTCAGGAGGTGCATACGGAGGTGGCTGGTCCTGGAAGGAGATACAGTGCAGTCAACAACCCTGCTTCTTTTATGACGAGCTCTTCCCAGGCATTCCCAGGCCTGGCTTACAAGAAATGACTGCTCTTCAGTGAGTGACAGACAGAGCCAGGTGCTGTGTTTTAAGCTGTCATTTCATCACACCACTCCTCTCTAGCATCAGCTATGCTCCAGGATACATGCTGCCTCCCATAACGTTTCTAGTGGAGGTCCCCTCAAAACCAGGTAACAAACGGTCTGTTGAAAATAGACCATTTAATCTGTTTTAATTGCCACCCCCCCCTTCACTCCCAGGGCCGTGTTTCTGTTGATGTTCATAGCTCTGACCCAGCACACAGCAAGCCCCTGGGCAGAGGGCCAGCTCTGCTGCTCCATCGGTCTCCAGCCCACCACAGAGCCACATAAGGCAGTGAAGGGCACAGATGGGACTGGCTGTCACGTACCAGATGTAGGCTGCAGCTGACCCACCGGCTGCCACTCACTGAAGAGTAAGAGACAACCCTGTCTCCAAGCAACCCAGAAAAAAAATGAAAGAGAAACACACATGCTCTCATCCTTAAGTGACCTGCTCTTCCTTAACTCCCCCACCTCCAGGCCCAACAGAAGCAGAGTGCTCTGGGTGTTCTTTGTGCCCGTGCAAATTTTTTATGCCTTTAAGAGTAAGACAAGTACCAAATGACTGCTGCTGGACGAATCTTAAGGCCCTCCTCCTTTCCTGATTGAGGAGTTAACGAGCCTTCTTCATGGGACCAACATCCATGCCTCCCTCCCAGAAAACCACATACTTTCTGTGCATGTTCAATACGAAGGCACGCTAGACTTTGTTAGGAAAGCAAACCGCTGTCTCTACTAGTGACAGAAGAGGGAGCAGGCACAGGCAGACCACAGGCACAGCACTCACCATGGGCATGTACACGTTGTGTGGGTTGGCAGGGTTGTAATATGCACTGGAAGCGGCTTCCATGGCCTTACTGCCCCCTAGAAAGGAAGGAAAAGAAGCCATCTAACATGCCCTAGGCAGTGGCCCAAGACCCAGAGCCTTCTCCCCAGCCATAGCTCTTTTGAGGAGGCAACCCAGGTCCAAAGAGCCGACAGCAACGGCAGCAAGCTGGGTTTGAATTCAGAGCAGTTCAGGAAAGCTGCAAGCTGGCTAGAGGTGACCATAAGCTGTGCAGCGCAGAGCTGAGCAGCTCCCCCCCCACCCCCCCCGCATTCTGTTAGCTCAAGTAACAGCGGAAGATGACTTTGAACTCCTGCACCAGCTTCCCCACCCCACGCTGTGCCCACAATGCCACCCACAGCCCAAGCCCCAATGCCACCCACAGCCCAAGCCCCCAGGTGCCCTTCTGCACCCTGGCAGCCCCCCAGTCCCATTTACCTGGCATCCCCGGGCCCACCCAGGCTGGTGGAGCTGAAGGGGCTGTGGGAGCCGAGGGTCCTGCAGGAGATGGCCCGGAGTAGGGGGGAGGAGGTGGCACGTACATGGGGTTCATGTTTGGAAGTGGTGGGTAAATACCTGAAAAAGATGACACTGGGTTGATGCTTTGGACTGTGGCAACGGGACAGAGGGGAAGAGAGCTCACAGGCCCAGCAGCACATTAGCTCTGGACAAGAACAGCAGTCAGGGAAGCTCTGCAGGCTCGGCAGGGATCTGACATTTTGCTGCTGCCCGTCATGCCAGCGGGCAATAATTCTCTGCCAAGCAGTAGCACAAGTTATAAACCACTTTTCCACCTCCCATCCAGCTGCAACTACAGACACACATGGGCGTGATCAGATTTTTGCGAGGACGAGGCTCCTTGATGGAGACAAAACTACAGTAACCCTCACCGCACCACTGTGATTTCTTTACAACTAACACCAAACACACCCTGCCAGTCATCATCACACAACTTCCAAACCTGGAGTCTGGGCATATGGGTATCCCATGGGCTGCGGAGCTGGTCCGTAGGCATTCATCGGAGGTGGTGTGTAAGGATACAGTCCGTTTGGTGGCGGAGGAGCAGCGTAGCCCCCCGGCACAGGCGAACAGCCCCCAGGAGCAGGCGGGCCGGGTGCGTACCCACCGGGCACAGGTGTATAGCCGTAGCCAGGGTTCTGGAGAGGAGCGCCACTGGAAGCTGTGGAGCACATGTTTAGTAAGCCAGACATCCTTTTGTTACAACTAAATGTATAGAAAAGCAGCAAAATAGCCCTGTTGGTGCAGCACCATTTCACTTCATCCAAATTCACTCATCAGTCCCGGCATAGTACTGTGCTTCAAAAGCGTCTGTCTCCTCGCGGCAAGTTCACAGGGTGCTAAAGGAGAACAGCTGCAAAAATACTAGCCAGCAGGTACCTGTACCATCACAGAGCTCCCACTGCTGGAAGAAAAGACCATTCTAAAGCAAGTATCAGCAGGGTGGTTTCCCCTTCTTTTTAAACTTTCTTATCAGAACAAAACGTACATGTTTAAACACACATTTCTTTAAAACAAAAGCTTTCTTATTAGAAAAAAAAAAGTACATTTTTCCTCCAATTGAAAGTTTTAAACATAAGTTATTGTTTTAAATTTATTTTTCCCCTCTCCAAACGCGCACATGTTAATTTCCCCCATCTTACTCCACTATTATAGGACTGAGCGGAGGCAAAGTAAGCGAATCAATTTTTCACCATGACATATTTCAACTTTATTCCAGGAGGAACAAGGTTCTGTAGAAAAAGGCAGTCCACCTCAGAAGCACAAACCCCAGAATATTCTGTTTGCACAAAGCACTGAGATGAAGTAAAGAAAAAAGATTGGAAGGGAAAACAAAGTTCCCCTGGAGAGAGGAAAACAATATATTGCTGTGGAAGAGTGCAGAGGGTACACTTCTTCCCATGAAGTACAAAAAGAAGCACTATTGTCTAACTAGCTCAGCCAACCATGGGGGAACTGCAGGCTCTGAAGATTCCTTACCATTAGAGGCAGCTTTGAACATCAGCTGTCCAAACTCAATGGCTCCTCCACTGTTGAAAGTCAGTTTAAATGTCCCCTGCCCTTCCCAGCCACCTAGGAGAGAGGGAGAATTAGAATTGCAACAGACCATTAACCTCCTCAGTAGCAGTCAAGACAGCAAAACAGCTAATACTCCAATTATTTTCTTTTCTTCTTTATTTCAAAAGTATTTTGCATCTTATTGCCCCGGCCAAAACAGTACCTCAAGAAGATCAGGAATTTATTTCTTTACCCTTTAAAAAATGATCCCCACTACAGTGATGTAGAAACAGCCTGGTCTAGATAGTAGGTTGTTTTGTTCTTTCCTGAAAGGTTTAATAGAACCTAATAATGAACATATTGTAAAGAAAGAACACTTAATTCCCTGAGGATTTTAATTGAAAGCCCTCAAATGAAGCTTTATTGCTGACCTCAGTGGACTACAGATCAGGACTTGCAACTCAAGCCAGGATTTATATCAAATGCAACATTTTTAACCTCTTTGACCCGCAGAAGCTCAGACAGATTATAAACGCTTAGGTATAATAGCAGTTTTTCAGAAAAAAATTCAAGTGGATGATCAGATTGAGAGATCAGTAGGAGTGCTTTGTTTTGTAAGGGGCTTTTTTTGGAGGTGCTTTGTTTTTTTTAGGAAAATATATATAATCTAAATAAAAGATTTCATAAAATAAGATTTCTCTTCCTTATCTAACAACAAAGTAAAAGTAGAGACAGTCTCTTGGGGACAAAATAGAAACATAACAAAAAAATCCACCATGGATAAAGTCATCTCCTTGGAGATGCACCTCTTTAAAACCACTGTCTTAGTATGATTTCAGCCCAAGAAAGTGGGCTGATCCCCAATTCCTAGAGGACCTGGTCACTTTACAACATTGTTACGAACAGAAATGCCAGATGCCATCAAAACGCGCATCAACTAATTCCAGGGCTGAAGGGGGAAGAAATTTGGACCAGATGTCTTGGTTTTAATCCCTGTTCATCCTCTGCAGTTCCCCATGTTAGGTCATGACCGTGACTGTAAGTCCCACCCAGGTTTCCTCATTATATTGGGAACAAAGCTAAATCCACGATACACAGCAGCATCCTAGAGGCACGCAAGCGTACCCAACTTGGTAAGTGGCTACTGACCTCTGCAAAACAAAAGCGGCTGCTAATTCTGTCTGTCAATACCAACGACTTGGTCACTTACCCACCCTTCCAGGTCAGAGAGGAGAAAACAAGCACATGCGGAAACCGAGTAAACATGACGTACACAGCAAGATAGAAGCTACAGGATTAAACAAGTCATCCTGTGAAAGCCAGTTACTAGCTTTGGGGGCAGAAAGTAACACAGAAGCAGCGCCTTCAGAAGTTCAGAAGACACAAGTTACCACAGCTACTCTGTCCATCTTCCCTGTGCACACAAACTGTCTATCTGATGTTCAGCAGAAAAGGACTTGTGACGCTTGGGAAGAGCTCGGTCTACAAAGCACGAGCACATACCTCCTGCCTCAGCCTGAATCTGTCCTTTGATGTAATTGGCAGCGAAAACAGGCTGCTCGATTGAGCACCCTTTCACCAAATAAAACGGCATCATGAAAGACAGCATTGGATCCTTGCCCTTCGACACAAAGATCATCTGCAAGACAGAAGGGAACACCTCTGAGTTACTTGAATTCAATATAAAGGGTGGTCATGGAATTCTAGTTGTAGCAGCATCCAAAAAGAGGGTAACTTAACTCCTTAAATCCCAAACAGATTTGACAGCACGTGGCTCAATCACCCGAAGCATGTATGTTGCAAAATCATATACCACTTAAAACACCCATGCACCTTTACAGAGTTTTATTGTTCTGCTTTTTTAAGGATAAGCCATGACAGTTTTCAAAGAAAGTAATACTGACACATTACATGAAATATATTTTCTGGACAGTGATTTCCAGGGCTGCACGTGCCTTTGTAGCAAACTGGGATTGCAACACAGGCATGAATGGTTCTATTTCCACCTTCTCTTCTCCTGCCTAGTTAGTACTCTCAGTGGTTCCCCCCATAACAAAAATCACTTCTATCACCAACTAGGTTTCTGGTCTAAAGCCTACAGGATCCCTTGAGAAAGAAGCAGCCCTGCTGGCATCAGACTTACCCTGTAAGGGGTGAGATATAGCATCCCTTTCTTGGTGCCTTTGAAGGCTTCAGACTTGCCGGTCATGTCACTGAAGGAGAGCTCCACATCTTTACACTGTTTGAGAACACTACAGGAGGAAATCAGACAAATTGGAGAGACAAACTCAGTGACAACTCTGACACACACACACCACACACGGAGGGGGATAGTACACCAGAAACTCTGAATACCATCCCGAAAGACTCAGTTCTGACGTGGGCCCTGCTGGTTTTCCTTTGAACGGAGAGGGATGATTTACGCAGAGCAGAAGAATCCACCCTCTCACCTGTGACAATCCCTGCTCCTCCTCCACAAAGGGAAGCTTTAAACGACAGTTTCTCTTTCTGTCTCCAAAACCATTGGGCTGAATAAAGAATTCCTCTCTCCGCATGAGAAGAGCCTCAGCCCAAAGGTCAGGGCACAGAAAGGGTTGACGAGTCTGAAACCACCCCCGCTGAAGTCAAGGTATCATCTCAGAGCAAGCCTCTCTCTCCAAGTCCATGCTCAAATCCAGGACTTGCAACTGCATGGGAAAACAGCACTGGTCTATCACCGCACCCACTGTGTGAACGGAGGAAGTTGCTCCACTAATACCCTCACTGCTGACCCTGCTTCACATGATTAAATATTTTCAATAAACAGCACCATGCTAACGAACAAAACAAGGACGCAGTAATGTCAGCAATAAGGTTATTATTGTTGGATTATCTATGGGAACACAAGGCCAGATGAGAACTGTGAACACTGAAGGGTCAGGGCTATGGAGGTGCCTGAAAAATTAAAGGTATTTTCAGGAAAAATGAAACAGTCAACTTGGGAAAGCATGCCACTCAATCTACAGGGCAGATCCTAAACATGCCACCTAGTAAGAGAGTTTGCAGAATAAACAAAAGAGCCTTGGGGACAACAAGCTTGCAGCGTGTTACAGTGGCAGAAGAATCTGAGGTGTTTTACAGTCCAAGAGCATGGAAAAAGAAAACACACACACAAAAAAACCCAACGCAAGCTCGAAGAGGACGAATCTAAAGTAATCCTTATGTATTCTGATCAGCATACTGTACAAGTCAGATCAAGACAGGAGTCAGGAAACTGCAAAATTATTGGGGGAAGGGAGGAATCAGCAAGGCCACCATATGGCAGAACAACCAAAAGCCCTGTAGTTTCAGGCCGTGGGCACTTCAGGGAAGAAAAAACCATAACAGTATGGATGTATCTGAAAACCACAGTTATCTAAGGAGGAAAACATTAAAAAGTCTAGCTTTAGTGAGAAAAAAACCAACTTGAACAAGAAATTCTACTGGGACATTACTTCATAGCTGAGCCAGATGCAGATTCTCAGACTGGCTGGGAGGGACAGACTGATGAGGCAGCAGAGCTCTTTCCATTTCTGAGATGCAAAGGGGAAACACTTCTAAGCTAAACCAGCTCCTTGACAGGTTGGATCTTACCAGAGCACTTCCTCAACCATTTCCTGTAGCAGCATTTCACGCCAGTTTGCCTCATCAGGAAGAATTTCTGTGTTGTCACTGTAATGTTTACTCCTTCCCAGCTACTCACACAAGCAAATAACATGCAGCCACCACCACTGGGTGTAATTATGCTGCTAAACTGGTTTGCCCCTGCGTAAAAGGGGTGGGGGGGGGGGGGGGGCTATGCCCCCTGCAGAGCCGTGCTGCACCCACCTGTGACTAAGCAGCACCTCAAAGAATGGCTTGAGGTCAAGGAGAGAGAGATCTTTACATCAGCAAACGCCCTACATGCCAAAGGACTTCCCCGACTGAAGTACTAGCAGTCAGTGAACTCAACATTATTTGGAGCGTTATTTTTGGAGCATATTTTTCCTATTGTTTACCAGCCCCCAAAACAACTCGATGACCCTTTATTGGGCCTCTGGTTTCTAGGATTTCTTTAACCAAGGCCAGGATGCCAGGAGCACCCAACCGCAACCAAAGCAAAGCCCAAGCCCGTCAAGCTGGTCTGTCAATCCCCACTGGGGGTGAGGGCAGGCGTCGAGCATCTGGCTGCGCCTTCGCAAAGAGAGGAGGGGTCCTGCTCCGCTCAGGCCTCGCCTCCGACGACAAGTTTTCCTTACTTTGACTTCAAGTGATTCAGACTTCTACCTTAAGCGGTCTCTGCCTCTCCGACATCACTAATTGCATGACATTAGGGAAAAAAAAAAGCCAATTCCTTGTGTTTTACAGTTGTGTTCACCCAGGACGCCCGCTGGAGCCGCACTAAGG